GTGCCAGTTAAACGACTCCTCATCGGAGGAGAGTAGTAGCTCGGCGGAATGTCATATCGTGCAGTCGAGACCGGCGTTCTTGATGATAGCCATTGGGCGAATACCTCTTTGGAGGAGAGACTATCGAGTCAACAGTGTCAAGAGCGAATCGTACCGGATATTGTGGCGTTATGCCAGACCAGCAAAGGTGTCGAGTCCGTTGAGGCTAAGAGCTTCAAGAGCAACATTGAGAACTTCGAGAGTAAGAGCTTCGAGAGCAACATTGAGAACTTCGAGAGTAAGAGCTTCGAGAGCAACATTGAGAACTTCGAGAGTAAGAGCTTCGAGAGCAACATTGAGAACATCGAGAGTAAGAGCTTCGAGAGCAACATCGAGGACTTCGAGAGTAAGGGTTTCGAGAGCAACATCGAGAACTTCGAGAAAGCTTACCACGATATCGAGGTTGAGAACATCGAGAGTTGCAGGTCTAGGCTTCGAGAGGGCCCGAAGGTCAGGGAACCTACGTCGAAGCGATTAGCTGTCACATACACGGCCAATGGGTTGCCGACCGTGGCAGTAAGTCTTCAGGGCAGGGTCACTACGGTCGCGCTCCTTGATACAGGAGCGACAGACGTGTTCGTGTCCAGTGCTTTATACCGTCGGTTGAAGGCAGAGTCCCCAGGCCTGGAGCTAAAGCAGGGTGACATATCGGTGAAGTTGCTCGATGGAGGAGCAGTGAAGATCCAGGGGGTGCTGGAGGCTCTAGCCATTGGGTTCGGTGATCAGACTAGGACAGTCGAGGCCTACGTCTTAGACTCTGCTCATTGGGAGCTGGTTCTACCCCGATGGGTGCTGGGTAACTGTGTTTGGGTGATGGCTGGTAACGACTACCTACTTTTCGATGAGCCTGAGGTCACCCCTCACGGGGGAGTGCAGGAGGCGAGGGAGATAGGCGCTAATACAGTCGAGAGAAGCCGATCTCTCCCGACACGAAGAGTGTGGCCAGCAGTCGTGAAGGTCCCTTGGATTGATGATCGTAGACCTAAGCAGAATTATGATGCCATCAGAGGCC